CCCCCCCCCCTCTCTAACTGCATATTTTATATACTTTTCTTTTAAATTTTGTTTTCTCTGGGGGGTTGGAAGTCATGAGATAGACATTTTCCATTCATCATCATCTGAGATTATATATAATTTAATTATTATTATTGTGTTTTTTTTAGTTCAATAGGTAGAGGTGTAGATTCAAACTTTTGTCATCTTTGGGTTTCCCCTCAAGATTTTTAAAACGCGTCTATTAGGTAGAGGTTTCTACACCCTCATAAAGAATGTTTTGTTCTTCTTCCCAACCAATATGGGATCTCACACCAGATCTTAGTTGAATTATGCTTGTGTTGACATTATCTGAAATTATATATCTTCTGTTATAATACTTTTAATTATTCATTCAACGGTTGTAGTAGTTCTATGGTAGTCATTTTCAGGTTCTTTAAAGTGGGTGAGTGGGATGATGTTGGTTGTAACTTGTTTATTTAAGTTCAACCACGTGTGGTTGGAGGATTTGAAGCTTTGATTCCTTAATTAAAGGTATATGCCTTTAAATGAAGAGTATATACCTTATAGGAGGGGCCTGAATAGGTAAAACAAAGCAAAGTATGCTGTTGGGTTTACTTCCTCTCCTTTTTATATACACAAGGAGGGGTAAAAAAAAAAATTCATTTTATTATCAATACATAATTATTGGAATGAATCTAACTCCAGTCATTTCTACATTTCTACATTTCAGGTCCATCCATTAATGAACAGCGGAAGAAGTCATATTGAAGGTGCAGCGCAGCTCCATAACAGAAGTGGCATCGAATCTAGGTATTCTAAACTTGCATTTCCTGAAACGAGTCGATTTTCATTAAACTTATTGCGTAGTAAACTGTGTGTTTCAAGAGAAAATTTACCCAAAAATGAAGGATTTAGAGGCACATTTGTGAAGGAGTGAAAGATAGGGGAGAGTATTTTGGTAGGGTCATAGCCAATATGCATAGGGGGACAAAGATGAGTGTGTGGGGCTAAGTAAAGCCAGAGGGCACCCACCCCTTCCTTTCTTCTCCTCTCTTAGAAAAACACACTTGTGAAGGGTAACTTTCAGAAGCTGCAAATTGGTAAGGCACAGCAGAGCACAGAGGAAGAAGAGAAGATATGATGTTTGAAGGAAAAGAAATGGCATGTGCTCTGCTCTGCTTTGCTTTGCTTTGCTTTGCTTTGAGGTAGCTTCTCATTCGTAGTGAGCCCCCAAGTGCTAGTGGTCCTAAGCTTTCTAACTAACACCTTTCCTGCATTGATTATGACTGCCCCTTTCCTATGCTCCTCCTCTACTCTCTTAAATGAGGCCTTCTTGACAACACACCATATTTGATGTGCAACGCAATGACAATGACCTCCATTTGATCCTCTCCTTCTTATCGCTTGTTCCATCCCGTCCCGTTTATTCCCGGATGCGTTGGTATTCATCAATTTCAATTAATTGATGTTAAATAAATATTATTGGATAAAATCATGAAGCTAATGAAAAAATGAATAAATATTGGATCCGTACCATTGATTGAGACTTGGCAATATATATATATATATATATATATATATATATCTAAGATCTATTGCTTTATTCGATTGTGGAAATATTTTATGGTTAGTGGGCGTCTTTGCATTCAACTTGATTTGATTTGTAATAATATGAATGAATTTTAAAAGAAAATAATTTTTATCCCTCGTAAATTTTTTTGAAAATTATAGTATTAAACAAATTCTATTTTTTAAAAAAATTCAAATAATTTTTATCCCTCGTAATTTTTTTTGAAAATTATACTATTAAACAAAGTCTTTTTCTTTTTTATTTCACATAGAATAATTTTTTAAATCATTAAGAGAAAAAAGATCTATAAAAGGACCAATGGCTGGAGTTTATTCGGGGTGGTCTTGATNTTTTTTTTTTTTTTTTTTTTTTTTTTTTTTTTTTTTTTTTTTTTTTTTTTTTTTTTTTTTTTTTTTTTTTTTAATGAAATCGTAATAAATGTGAATTTAAAATAAATTATGTTTCTAACACTTATTTATGACAACAATTAAAGTATTTATTAGTTCAAAATCATAGCATCACCTACCTAATATATTTTTGCTAACGAGCTTCCTACACCAAAAGTTTCTAGGATCATATATTCGTCTCGTAATTCTATTTAAGTGGAGGACTCCAAGTACGAGTCAATCTATTACTTAGTATAATGGTTGAGAAGTCCTCAACCAATGATACACAAGAATGAACAGTTGTTGATCTCGATTGAGGTCAGCCACCGAGCAGATAACGAAATCTCGACCATCTTTATTTTGAAATTAAGTATAGAGGTACATTAAATATGACAAATCTAGAGTAAGTTGGAAACTGAAAACACTTATGATTGTCTCACATTATATAACCAAGAAAACAACGTTACCAAATGATCATTAGCAAACAGCATAAAACTCAACTACTACCAATCTAACAAATTTAAAAGTTTTAAGGTACCAACCAACCTCAAGCTTGTTTCGTGTAGAAACGTAAGGCAACTGCCAATCCCAAAATTGCAAGCGGGACGAGGAACTGGAGGAGCTTGATGATGAACTCCGACGTCTTGTCCTGATTGTAATGAGGCTGTTTCGGAGGCGTGTATGCAACCTTCTTCGGAATTGTCGAACCATCAATCTCTCCGACATAGTATTGATCCATCATTTCTCTTGCGTTGTCACTGTGCCCCACATCTTCAAAATCGTCCGTTGCATCTTTTCCTGATCGAGAAAAACCGAGTGATCGTACCGTGTAAATGTTAGGCGTTGTTGTTTCGAAAAGTAAAAATTATGGACAGTGGATTAGGATTGAAACTCTATAAGCTGAAATAGCATACCTGTGGCTGATAACAAAACATCATCACCTCCAGGATGGTCATCTAAGAATTTGGTCACGTCATATACCTGTTCAGATAAACAAATGAACCAAAGAGATCAGAAAGCTGGTGTACTCAGTTGAAAGAATCTGGTATAATTCTACACGAATCTATAACGAAAGTATATCCTAATAGCATAGCTCAACTCGTTATTGCATGTACCCCTTGACCAAGAGCTCAAAGCAGGTTCTTCCTTTCATGTAAGAGCCCAAGATCATTACTAGCAAATATTATCCGCTTTGGTCTGTTACATATCGTCGTCAGCCTCACGGTTTTAAAATACGTCTACTAGGGAGAGGTGTCTACATCCTTATAAGGAATGTTTCGTTTTCCTCTCCAACCAATGTGGGACCTCACATTTTCGAAGATCGAACCCATAATAGTTTTAAGTATTAAGATGACTGCCTAAGAATTTGAACCCAAGACCTCGGTAGGTATTCTCAACGTTTAAACATCCCGAGCCATTGCCACTAGGATTACCCTCTTAGGAGTAGGATTTGAACCCATCAGCCTCACGGTTTTAAAACACGTCTGCTAGGGAGAGATTTCTACATCTTTATAAAGAATGTTTCGTTTTCCTCTCCAACCGGTGTGTGACCTCACATTTCCAAAGATTGACTCATAATAGTTTTAAGTATTAAGTTGACTGCCTAAGAATTTGAACCCAAGACCTCGGTAAGTATTCTCAACGTTTAAGCATCCCGAGCCATTGCGACTAGGACTACCCTCTTAGGAGTAGGACTGGAATGTCATAGTTCCAACTAACATCATTTACTTTTGTGCATGAAGAATGCCAAAGAATATCCAGTACAAATCTCCAAATCAGTTGCATACACAATAAAAGCATTTTAAAGTAAAGAACTGTCCAATGTTCAAAGTAGGATACACTAGTTCTTAAGTACAAAGAGTTTATTGACGCATTCCGATAACGACCGTAACAGTGAGTACCTTTGCCAAGATGTCCCCATGGAATTAGAACATAAAGCAAAAAAAAAAATCCACAAAGATTATGGTAGAAGGATTTCCAGATCATAAAAAATATGCCAATGGAACAGCCATGATAAGCTCCATATTAGCAAGGGGCAAAATTATCAAAGATTAAGCTTTTCTACCTATAAATCTTCATATCATTGCTATTTCTAACTCAAAACTAATCATCGTTGGTAGTTCTGATGAATTTTCATCAAGAAAACAAACATACATATCCGTTAATTTCAACGATGTAACACGAGATACCTGGGTATGAAACGGGCAAGCTGTACATTATCCATAGTTCTTCTAAAAAATGAAAGAGCGATTTAGATGAAAAACGGTAAACTATCCATAGATCTTCTAATAAAGGAAATTATTTCCACGTTCGAGGGATATTTAGAATTGAATTTTGGGACTATGAGAATCCGCTTCCTGAAAAACTGTAAACTATCCATAAGTCTTCTAGTAAAGGGAATTATTTCCCCGTCCAAGTGAGATTTAGACGAAAGACTGTAAACTATCCATGGATCTTCTAGTAAAGGAAATTATTTCCCCATTCGAGTGAGATTTCGACGAAAAACTGTAAACCATCCAGACTTTCTAGTAAAGGAAATTATCTCTCCGTTCAAGTGAGGTTTAGACGAAAAACTGTAAACTATCCATAAATCTTCTAGTAAAGGAAATCATTTCCCCGTTCGAATGAGATTTAAACGAAAAACTGCAAACTATCCATAGATCTTCTAGTAAAGGAAATTATTACCTCATTCGAGGGAGATTTAGACGAAAAACGGTAAACCATCCATAGATCATCTAGTAAAGGAAATTATTTCCCCATTCGAGTGAGATTTAGACGAAATACTGTAAACGTTCATAGTTCTTCAGTTCGGCCTAGGTTTTTTTTGTATGTCATTGTATATTCTTTGGTAAAGTCCCTAGCTCACAAACTCAAGTCTCATCGGCAAGAAGATAATGTCCAAAACAGCTTAATAATCAGGGTCCCTAGCTCACAAACTCAAGTCTCATCGGCAAGAAGATAATGTCCAAAACAGCTTAATAATCAGGAAAACAAAGCAAGCAATATGAAGATAAGAGTACCAAAAAGAAGAAAAAAAAAAACTTAAAACGAATTCATACCACTGTACTGGTTTGAAAATTAGCACAAAACCTAAGTGACAGTCAATGACTCCATGTTCGTATGAAATAGTATGAAATCACCACTGTAGCTACAAGCAAGAGCCATTAGGTTGAATTACAGACAACAAATAGATCATAAAATCCTGTCCAGAAACTACAGATCTAAACAGTTCAATACTCAATTACAGACAACAAATAGATCATAAAATCCTGTCCAGAAACTACAGATCTAAACAGTTCAATACTCTATTAGAATGCAAAATCTGAAAACAAAACAAAACAAATCTGAAATCTCAAACAAAACCAAACCAACGCCGAACTCCACCGCCACAACAAGAACCAAAATCCACCCAAAAACTCGCAGAATCCGCGAGTAAAACGGAAAAATCATAGATCCAGAAGAACAAGAAGAAGAAGAGAAATGGATTATATATATATATATACCTTGCCACTGATGATGAGCCAACAGTCCTTGTGATTGTTGTGCTCAGCGACTTCCTTCAAGGTGAAGACCTTTTCTCCGCTACCCATATGCTCGAATCGGGTTCGTCGATCGAATTGAAGCGAATTGAGGGGGCAGAGAGAAGGAACTTTTGGGCTACAAAACAAGGATGGAAACCGAATGTAAAACAACTATATACTATATATATATATATATATAACTGATACGAGAAATTAAGCTCACGGAAAGATTTTGATGTCAACTACAAAAAAAAAAAAAAAAAAA